TTTTTTTTTTTTTTTTTTTTTTTTTTTTTTTGAAATATTTCAAACCAAATGTGTGAAGGTCACAGTGTTGATTGTTACCATAAATGGTGTCACTCTCGATCTGAAGACTCGGCTTAGTTATAATGCTATTACTAAATTAGTTTTTTTCCCAAAACGTCGTCAGCACGTATGAATTATGCCTTGTGCTGTGGTAAAAATTGTTATTTGCAGTTGCAAAGTGATGTTAGAGAAACACTATGGGAGATTCAACGGATGAACGAGCAACTTGCACTAAATCAAGCAATCTTGACTCAACAGATGGCAGGATTACAACAGCTGATTGTACTGCAACAGAATAATGCTGCAACGCCTGCAACAAATTCGGATGTAACACAAGATGTAACCTTAATACAGATTAACAACACCGATACATCGTCCAATAATGAAGCAGCTGGAAATAGCTGTAACATTGGAACAACACAAGTTGTTAACACTCAAGCTACTAGTGTGCGTTTGTGATATCCCATCAATGTTCTGTTCATAATTATTCAACTCAGTATTACCCTTTTTTCTCATCCTACTTTTTTCCATCCCAATTCCTCAGTCTCCCTCATCGGTACATATGTCTGTGCATAAAAATCTGGTGTATATGAGTCCATCAGAAATGGATATTTAAATCCTATTACTTTTTTTTGCTTGACTTTGGAACTCTGCCAACATTTGTAAACGATTTTGCAGATGTCTTATTTGATTAAAGAAGACCCTACTGGGTTTTTTTTGGCATAAATCGTCAATAGAAATAGATTGTTCAAATAAGTGCTATCCGCCTAATTTGACACTGAATCTTTATGCATACGTTACTATTTTTTAACTGAAAATACGTTTTGCTAGTCTAAATCTTGATGGTTCCATTAATTATTGTAGCCGGTTATCTTGAAATTCACTAACTGATGCTCAACTTCCTTCTTGTTGTTCCTTCTCATCTTCTTTTAAACTCTCGCCGGTACTTTCATTCATAATTCGTAGTGTAATTAAAGTCGTCTTAATTTGGCTAGATTTTCGCTTTTTTCTGTCTTTGTAAATTTTTCCGAATTCGTTTCTTCCCACATTTTTTTTTTACCTTTTCATCGCACTTTCAGAAAAGTATAACATCTGAAGCTAAAATTTTTGGAGAGTTTTTTCCGGTATTGTCTTTAAGCTTTTTTTACGTCGAATTACCAATTAACATTTGGATTAAAGAAGTTTGTTGCATAACAAACTTTCTTAATCCAAATGTTAATAAAAAATTTTACGCTTTTTTCTTTTGCTTTTGAAATACTCTTTAATAACTTCCAAAAGTTTTTCCGACATAGATGATTTCATTTTCCAGTACAGAAAATATACTGTTTCCAAAACTTTTTATTCTTTAGGCTTTATATAGAGAAAGTTTTGTTCTTTTTTTTTTGGTCACAGTAAAATAGTGGTCAATCACGGTTTCAATTAGCAAAACTCAAGAATAGGGAACAGAAAAGAAGCCTTATGCAAAAAAGAAATTGAGAAATGATGGATTTGATTTAGCAAAGGCTGCAGGGATGCATTGGAGGGAAAGAGGCTAATTGTCTCGTTCGGTTGGATGCGTGACGCTTGGAAGACAGAAAACAATTTTTGTAAGATGGAAAAAATTTTTTTTTTGGTTTTTTTTACATATATCATTTTTTTCTCCTTCTTTGCATATTCTTTTTTATTCTTTCTTGGTTATTTCTTTTCAACTAATCCGTTGTTTTCAAATCACTCATAATTCACTTTGTTATACGACAGGAAAATTGTGAAAGAAAGCACTTTTCTAAAGTTTGTTATTTCCACTGATCGTTCCGTTTTTTTCACCCCGTTCTCAATAAGTCATACTTTTTAATTTCACCTTTTTTTATCCTGATTTAATGTTGTTCAGATGTCCTTTTGGTTGGTACACTTTTTTTTTAAGAACTCAGTCAACAAACGAAAAGCAGTCAAAAAAGCGAAGAAGAAGCACAATCTAAGGCTCATATTGTAAATGTACAGAAAAGAAGTTGAAACTTGAGTTTACTTACAATTTTTCTATTCATTTTGTTTTGTTTACCCTCTTTCTCATGTTCTCATCCTGGATACGATAATGATATTCATTTTTTTTTTTCATTTTCACTGTTTCACTGAATACGGGCCATTCACAGTCAAAGCAGTCAAACCTTTTTTGTTCTGTTTTTGTTTCCTCCAGTTGCAGAGCTCTTTTGTTTCTTTTTTCTCAACATTCTTTTTGTCCTTATACATTACTTCTTTTAGCTGACCCAAAAACAACTGTTGTAAACTGTACAGAGAAGAGAAAAAAAACGATCATTTGAAAATTTTTGTGTACTGATAAAGACCAAAGTTTAATATACCGTTCAGTGTGATTACAGAAGAACTTTTCCCCTGTGCTACTGTGTACTATTGATCCTGTAAATACTATTAAATGTTACAAAATCTGTAAAAACATAATAATTAATTACAAGAATGAAATAATTTTTTATATAAATACAGATTTTGCTCGCACTGTTGCAACTACTGACAAACTTCTTAGAAAGTTTCCACCTTTTCACAGAGTTTCTTAGAAAACCCCTATTATGTTGATTATTTACTATAACTGTAGCAGAACTTACAGTGTCTACAGTAACTCTAATTTGAGTTGATTTTGGCTCAATTAAATCTTCTTATTACACTTAATCTCTCCTCTATCAAAATATTGTAACACAACCGTAATCTAAAAAGCTCTCGTATATTGAGCTCTTTGCAATCTAAATTCCTAACTTTTACTGTGCCGCAATGACTAATTAGATATAGAGAGAGAGAAAGAGAGACGTTACGTCAATTGCTTCATCCTACGAAAAGAAAATTATACTTTTGAAACAGTAAGAATGATTCTCTTCTGAGAAAAAAAGGAGTACAAATGCAGAATATTGTTAATCTGTTGACCCCATACCAGTACTTACTGAAAACTAAACGATAGCAAGAGAACAAAAGAGACAATATTACAAGGAAACTGATAAGCATCCAAAAAACTATCCTAATTTGAAGGGCAAAAGTTTTACAAAAATCTTTCAATTAACTCACTTTTGGAAGAATTCCACTCTAAGGATTACAAGCAGATTCAAATATTTAGAACAGAACTGAATCAAACCGTTTGGTGTATGAATACCGAATAACAATAAAGAATGTTACCCTTCCAAGGGTTAGCAATTCGAATTTCCATTCTTATAATGGTTAATAACGAAAAATAATAAACAACCTTCTCTTTTGAAATCTGCCTTTAGGTCTTCCAAGAGAAAAATTTTCCTTGTTTTATAAAAAAAATAAAGCACAAAGAATCTACAATTACGATATTGTTTGGACTTCGAAAGTGCTTTGTTTGAGTTGTCCTCATTTTTGTGAGTACACGGTTCAGTTTGTACCAATAATTAGGAGTTTGTTAACCAATTTTACTGTATAGTTTTGCTGAAAATTTGTGTTTGATGAAGAACATCGACAGTAACCAAGGGTTAGTCGCCGACGCTTATAGTGCCATGCTAGCAGAGGTTTTCTTCGAGACCAAAGCTTTTGAGACTGGCAAATACTTAGTTGGAATACCGAAATACATAAATCTTATATTCTATAAATTGATAATCTTTAAACGGCGCAATGCCACTTCCTTACAAGACAACAACTAGTAGAAGGCCTAAGGTCATACACTTGATAGTTGTACTCTTTCACTTGTTTAAATCATGTCATCTCAATCACTTCTCTTCCATAGCAACAACTCAACATTAGGCCATCAGAGAGAAGTGGTCAACTGTTTATACTCCAGAGTGTCGCGACTACCGACCGTCCTTTCAATTGGAAAGTTGATCGCAACTCCTCTACAGCGTCCCTACCAAGATCCTTGCTTCTATAGTTTTTAATACAGCAAGCAATCATAGTTGCCAATGCTTACAGCAGTATATTTTGAGGACTGTAACTCTTTGAATTAACGCGGAGTGGTAACGTTGATGGACGCTTACTAATTTCGATCATTCTTTATTTAAGAAATCCATTGTAAAGTAAAGGTGACGGAGGTTTGAGGTAAAGAGTGTAAAAGAGCTTGCAAATTAGCTCGCTATTCTGAACTCCTGGTATAAATTATGAAAGGATAACTAGTTTAGACAAGCACTTATGGCCCCTAACCAACAAGGATAAAGAATTATTGCAGTAAGATGAAACAACTTCCAATAAACAATGAAGTTCGAAGAAAATTAAGAAACAACAAATAATGAACTAATCAAAACTAATACAGAGAAACAAATTAAAGGAGAAGATTTAGAACTTGGCATAAAAAGCAGGAAGATGAAGATTGCTTATGGCGATTACTTAAGCATTACTGCCGATCACGACAATATAAACAATAACCTCCTTTTTGCATACCTTGCTCTTATATAGCCTTCGTAATGGCAATGATCCACCACATAACCTCCAAGAGCGTCCCCTCAGGACCATGTTTGACCTCGTTACCGACTGCTGCCTCCTTTAAGCCATTTCGCGTGCCGTCGCGAAACAGAGACTTACTTTTGAGGGTAGATGAATGACTAATGCTTGCCTCCATCAAGGTTGCCCCTCATGCAGCGACACTTTACGGAACTGTACCGCAACGAAATATTTTTAATCACAACTTTCCATAAATCACCACCGCTGCCAATTGAACAGGCAGTTCAACATGTAGTGACAAGTCTGAAAATCGTCCGAGTGGCAGTTTCTTTCGCTGAATTTCAGCAACAGTAGCGACTAAAGCATTCATATAGTGAGTGTGTTGTATTCTTATTGACAATCTTCCAAGACACGATATCTTCATCCCAAAAACAGACCAAGCCTGAATTATTACGATAGAAACCTAACAGTCTTATCAGT